CACAAAAAGTAAGTGAATACATTTATAGTAGACAAGATTCCAAGGAAGGAAATCTCACTTTCAACATGTAACGTTTCAATGACATCCTCGTATAAGGTCATTATCATATAAAGTAGTATCAATCGTTCTGCAGAAAATACATTTGATTTTACATCTGTAGTTTAAGCCTAATTATTCCAGAGCACCTCTACCACAAGTTCCATTTAAATCTGGTACTTTGAGATATGAAAAATTGGCTAAACTAATCACGTCTGCAAATTGAGCAATTATTATGCTTATATTTCAACCCCAAACTAATTTGGTCTGTGTATTATTCCAGAGCACATATGTACCAAGTTTCATTATAATGGAATGATTAAATCTTAAAAAAATTGATCGAAAGCCGAATACTTGAGATATTAACTAATTATTATAACCAGGTAATTAATATACAGAAATTTTAATGTAAAAGTAACAATGTCACATACCATCAATGTACCAAGTTTCATTGAAATGTGATAGAAGATATCGATGGAAAAGTCGACAAATTATGAAACGTTATACTAATTGGGTAATTAACGCATAGATTTAAACCAAAACTAAACAGGTCTGTCTTGTGTATTTTCTGTAAGTATTATAAACTTTAGTAATGTAGATTACAATGTTTCCACATTGTACATCTCAAATAGCTGACAAATATTAGTTGCAATGCTTCATGTTTGTATGACTAATTAGTTCATATTACCGGTATTATACATCTGTCACTGTAACGTCATAAGTTACAGCGTGCCGTATTTTGGTATTTTCATCCTACCATATAAGAAATGCAAATTCCAAATATAGAATGATTATGCGCGTAAGCGTCCTCAAACAAACATGGCTGCCACCAGGGTTTGGCCGGACTCCACACAAAGAAGTTCGCTGATTCTGTTCTACGGAAGGAAAAGATGTATAATAATTAGGTTATTACGAGGATACCTGAATATTGTCAATATCAGGCAATCTAACTTTATGAAGTGGATCATATTGGCCGCTTCTGAACTTCCGTGGAGTGAAAATATCTTGACTTGGTGTTGACAGCATATTTAAACATAAACATATTTACAAGCTGTATGTTGATGTGGGAAGACAATTCTAAACTTGAGAACCCAGACAGTCTTTTTAAACCCACACTGAATGATTGTCAATAGACTTTTGTGTGTGACAAAAGTACCCTGCGCATACAGCACTGCGTGTTTGTGGGATTCACTCGCAATAGCTCACTCGCTTAGATGTTTATGTTACCTCTCATCTTTTAATGCATCGTAACTGGTGGTACAACCAACACAATAATGTTGCTGATTACTCATTGGGTTTGAAATTGTTCAGACATTTACCATACGATCCACATATTATTGCAACGATTGCTGTTTTAACAAGAAAGACAGTATTCCTCCTTGCTTTAGATACTGGCAGGATAAGTAAGTGTAGGCTTTGTCATATGACGACACTCTGACACAGCTTACTGTGGAATAAAAACCAAAAGATGATGTGGAAAAATTATTGACCACTGATAGTATGTTGAGATATTATTAGGCTATAAGTAGAATTTCATTATTAACAGCATTGGTAGGATCTCTATCGTGTGCTATGGGGATATCAGTCATGGCATATCAATGGCTTTATGTCATCGATTTGATTGGGCATTCAGATTGTTTCCGGGATATGGGGATCTGGTCCCCCTCCTTGTTGATATAGGAGACCACCGCTGTGCCGTCTGTGCAAAGCAAGACTATGTGGCCTCGAACTATGTGTAGAAAGTGTATCAGTGCTAAGTGCACTGCTTTCAGTTTGAGCCAATTGATATGGCGGTCCCGGAACCCAATGCAGGGGCCTATAACCTATAACCCAATATGTATGATCACCATACCAACTTTGATTCAAATCGGCCAGGTTATCTCTGAGAAACACCTGGCGATTTATATATAGCACTTTTACATGAAATTTAGGCGTCAGTCAGCCATATTGAGTCGAATCACAAAAATAATAATGGTGTAGTTGTATCTTTTGATATACTATCTTTGTACAAAATTTAAACAGAAACGTTCATTGCATTCAAGAGAGAGTAGCATGGGTACCATCTAAAAAGCAAATGGCCGCCAGTCGGCCATATTTGTTTGAATCACGGAAAAAGTATGACGTGCACCTATAACCAAATATGTATGATCATCATACCAAGTTTGATCCAAATCGGCCCAGTCATCTCTAAGAAACAGCTCCGGACATGTAAAAATAACGATTTAGGTTTTTGCCTCGAGGGTTTGCAACCTGTAGGACTCCCAAGCGTGGAAGCACTTTGAGGCGGGTTTGAAAGCTGAAGGCAAGCGATCATGAAAGGCTGGTAAGCGTTGCTCTAAAAAGGGGAAATCCCCAGCCGCAGCTCGTGATGTGTCTGATTCTATGAGTGAAAAATCTCTCCCTCCCTTGGTCAGCTTGGTGTCGACCAAGACGAGGCTTGCCTACAATCGCAAACTGAGGGAGATCGAGAGTTGCCACGGTCCGACTCCCTGCTCAATGTAGTGGGATTGACGATCGAGACAAGACTCCGACACTCTGAGGTGACAGAGGCGCACCGCAGGCGAGACTTTCTGCCAGTGTTGGGGTCATGCAGTTTCTCTGTGCGATATTACCGAGGCGGGCATGCATCGTTCCACCGCTTTTGTCGGGGATCGGAGTTGCCAAACACCACAGATATTAACGTCGGTATACACCATATTCCCACTGTGGCGCTGACATCGATGCAGAGTGCCGAGGTGGGATTGGTACAGCCTTTTTGGGCTGAACCGGCCCAATCCACCGAGTCTTCATTGGTACCGACACAGCCTGAGTTGCTTGTGCGAGTATAGGCAGTATAGGGACAGACCTCGTTGTCTTTCCTTACCGATGTTAGTCAGGGTGAAAGGGGCTCTTCCCATGATGATGAGATGGCTTTGAAGGACTGGATGTTTAATCTGGCCTTCAAAGTAAACTTCCTCCTGCAGTTGCGGGCTACCGGAGGTGAGAGTCCGGTGTATATGTTTTGTTAACAAATCATTCAGTTGTTCTAGTGAAAAATTCATGTTGTTCATCATTTGTTGTATTAAAGAATACCATTGTAAATTGGATTTCTTTTGTTCAAGGTATGCTTGTTTTGTGATATTATTTCCTGGTAATTTACTGATACGAGTCCAGTATTTTATTAAATTGATCTGAATATCTACTAAGAGTGGGAATTCGCCTACTTCAGCTCTGCATGCAATGTTTGCTACAAATTTGTTCAATCCTAGTAGTTGTAAAAATTCAATTGTGTTTTTTCTGTTATTGTTTTGACCCATTTGTTGAAATCTTGAATTTCATGACCCCAGATTTCAGACCCATACAATTATATTGGTTGAATACACCTTTTAAAAAGATGGATGAAAGTTGTACAATTTGTTTCTGGTGGTAGGAACTGTTTCAATGCATACATTGCTCGGGCTGCTTTATCTGCTAATTTTTGTTTGGCTTCAGTGTAGCAGCCACTTGACTTTATGTTTACAAGGTAATATTTTGTTCATTTCAGTGTTTCTCGTCTGAAAATAACAACTTTTGTTTTTGTCAGATTTACCTGAAGTTTCCATTTATGACAATAAACCTCTAAACTATTTTGTGCATTTTGTAGACCGTTTTTGTTCCAGATATTAACACTAGATCATCTGCATACAGTAAGGAACTTATTTTACAGTTATTCAATGTAACTGGATCTAATAATTCATCATCTAGTGAATTATTCAAGTCATTAACAAACAAATTAAAAAAAATTCGGCTATTGACACAACCTTGCCTAACACCCTTGGTCCGTGGAAGCGTACAACTTAACAGCTTCTTCAACGACCAGTTTGGAACATCACCAGGTGAGGGCACACGAAGTGCGCAGAGTCTGGTCTGGTGCCACGCTCGAGCAGGTGCTCCAAGCAGGGTTCAGGAGATCTCAGAATGTCTTCATTAACCATTACCTGAGAGACTTCCAAGCTTTGGAAGAATTTCTACAGGTTGGGACCAGTGGTGACGGATCAAACAGTGTTCGTGGACCCAGCCTGACCACCAAGGAGCCCCATGCGCGAAAGAGTTAGCGCGATTGCGTCTTCAGCCTCTTTTTGCTTGGTGCTGCTGGCTTCGATCTGTGCTATCGAACCCAACCAATGTACTGTTTAAATACATTAGAATTGTTTGAGCCCTATTTTATTGTTCAGGCGCAGGGGGTACTCTTCAGGCACCCGGTCCCCGAAGAGTCACCTGATTGGTCGTATCCCAGGAGAAGACTCCTTGTTGGCGAGTAGTTTTAGATTTCTCGCATTTTTTTTTACGATTTCTGCTTTTTGTGTTGAAAATGTGCATTTCAGCCGTCGGAGCTTCCCCACCTCCGGTGAGCGTGCTACTCTGCCTAACGAGTAATAAAATGAATTTTATTATTTCCACGGATTTTCTGGTAGGTGATGTAGTAAACTAATAGGGTTGTACAAACCCGTTTGTTTACCTAATCTACCTACCAGAAAATCCGTGGAAAATACCCACCTCCCCACAAGCTTCCGAGCGACCCGCTGTGGTGCACTGTAATCATTTGGGCGTCGAGCACGTGATCGCCCTAGGGGTGACCCATTAGATGAGGTCTTTTTTCTTAGAGAATTTTACCCTAGGTTGTTCTCCTGTGGACCCGGGTATGTTCTCTAATGGTTTCCGTTTGAGGCTGTAATCTGTAATTATGCCTAACGAGTAATAAATGAAATTTTAACCCTTCAATTTTTTTTGGGCAGATTTCACCACGAAAAAATAAAAATAAAAAAATAAATGAAATTTATTATTTCTGCGGATTTTTTGTTAGGTATGATTGGGTAAACAAACAGGTTTGTACAACCCTATTAATTTGATAAAAGTACACCCCTAGTAAATACATATCATCAAAACGATTACAAATTTGAAGTTATCGTAATGAATTTAGCTTATCCGCTATACAATCTATGTGATGGTATATTCGACAAATCCGATAATAAAACCTTTCAATCAAGAATAACAAAGTATTTTTTTGATAGCAGACCGTGCATGATAACACTAACACATAACATAATGAGTCATGCAAAATGGAATGTGACAGATTTGAAAAGGGTTTCATTTATTCAAATATTCATTTACACTACACAAATCATTTCAGTTCAATTAATGTTTTCAGACTGAATTGTTGTAATAGCTGTATGTTTCATATCACCATATTAAGAAGAGTTGCCTCCCTTATGTTTTTTATTGTAGTTATCCACAACTGGCATAAGAAAGGCAAAAATCGCAGACACATTATAAATTGTCCCTGTGATATAAAAAACGGCATCATAATCTCCAAGAACATCACGCATCCAACCTATGGAAGATAATAAATAAATATGTCAGTTTGTTTGGATCTACATTATGATACTGGATTTGGTTAGTGAATATACCAGGAAGATAAGGCAAGTCTTAAATACCTGCAAGAAGTGGTCCAACCATCATTGCTAAAGCTTGTATTTACATCATCAATGACAAAGTAAAGTCATATCGTGTTGAAAAAAAATAATGTAACACCACAGCAACCATAGGAATATAGCACGCCATTCCACAACCAAATATACTCGCAAATGCCATTTGCCCTAAACGAAAGTGAATGAACAAGCTGAATAAAATAACATTGAGTTGCGTAGAATTTTATTAGGTGCTGTTTGTATTAAATAGCTGGTTTAAATACATTATAGCAAAGAATAAGTATATTCTACCTTTGCAGTACAAAGATGTATTTTTAATTTTCCAGTTTATCTTGACGCGGGAAGGTTCAATAGACTACCCCTAATAATCTAAGCTGTTGTTGTTAGTGACTTGTTATAGTTTTCTTGTAGGCACTTTAAAGCTGTTTTGAAGATCTGCTTTGGGGATAATCTAGTCCAATTGAATAACGCCTATTTATTAAATTAGACACGTACTGAGTAATAAAAGAGAAGTAATAATTTATTAAAACATAAAAAGTTAAATTTAGGCTGTGTTGGTTTTATGAATGGAGTTATATTTCTAATTACATTCTAATTGCCTTATGATGTTTCTGCGAGTCTGCGCTTAATAATATTTAATCAGAACATCTTAAATTTAAGTCGAATGACAGACATAACTAATTTGATAAACGACTTCACGTTTGCTCTGGAACGTATTAATTCATCTTATTAGTTTGAAATAATTGTAGTATTTTTTTTACGTAGGTCGCGAAGTGGTGTAAGATGAAAGGCAAGAATGTAAGTAGCTCATCTTGGTGATCTTTGTTGAAAGCAGAAATAAACACATGCAGCCATAATTATTTGAAATAACATTTTGAACAAACACTATTACAAAACAAATCAATCTGTTTTCACCACAACGGAATCATTGACTTACGTTTATGTTTAGCAAGTGATGGAAAGCGATATAATACATATATAATTACAATTGATCTTGACATTTATTTAATCCATACAATCTACTCACCTTCATACGTTCTTAAGTGGACACTAATAATTGATATAATACCACACATTGACATACCAATACCATACAATATATAAGGTTTGACCTTGAAGAAATGTCCTCCAACTCCCCAAACTATTCTACAAACTAACTGGGTCATACCCATTAGTGTAGTTAAACTGGCACTTTTAAAGCTAGGAATTCCAATATCCCTGGCACGGTTCACCTGCACAGATATAATTATATTCAGTTATGAGGTAATTAGATTCGGCTTCAAATATATAGAATTAGGTATAACAAGTATATATAACCCGAATGTTGATTTTACACAAACATTGGTACGAAATATATCTAAACATTGTAATGTACGGGATATGAGTATATCTAAATGGGCATGTACGGGATATTCATATATGTAAATAAGGTATGGTACGGGATATGCATATATCTAAATGGCGTACGGTACAGGATGTGCATATATCTAAATGAGGTACAGCACGGGATATGTATATATCAAAATGGGATATGGTATGGATATGCATATATCTAAACAGGGTATGATATGGGATATGCATATATCTAAACAGGGTATGGTACGAGATATGCATATATCTAAATGGGGTATGTACGGGACATGTATATATCTAAATAGGGTATGGTATGGGATATGCATATATCTAACTTTGGTACTGTGTGGGATATGGATATATCTAAATGAGGTATGGTACGGGATATGCATATATCTAAATGGGGTATGGTATGGGATATGCATATATCTAAATGGGGTACGGTACGGGATATGCATATATCTAAATGGGATATGGTACGGGGTATGCATATATCTAAATGGTGTATGGTATACGTA